CTGCTGGGCCCCCACGCCCCGGCACGCTCCCCTGCGGAAACGGCGGGTGTTCAGGGCCTGACTCGGGACTTCCGGTAGGATCCGCACTTAAACCTGGTGCAGAGCTTGGCACCTGGTCCCCCATGGCACGCTGGCAACCTGCCGCTCTCTCTTAAACACTACTGAGTGCCAGCACCCTGTCCCCAGCGACAAAGCTTGCAGAGTGTCACCTTCCGCACAACTTGTAGGGCTTCTGAGCAACCTGGTCTGGTTGAAGATGTCCCTGCTCACTGCAAGGGGGTTGGGCTAGATGGCCTCTAAAGGTCCTTTCCAACCCAAAGAGTTCTGTGATTCTGTGATTCTTTGAAGACACGAGTTTGATTTCATTAGGCAGCTCGACATCTGCCACGCACGTGGAACCGGACATTCAGCATTCACCTTTTCTACAGCGGCCTTCAAATTAAACCCTGAAAGAACAGCTGTGGCCACCTCGCCGCCTCCCGGTTTCGTGCCAGAACATGCCCCTTTTCCTGCGAGCCCAGACGACTGAGAAGACGCAGACACAGACAGCGGCTGGACCAACGTGGGCAGCCCTCTGGAGTCTGCCCCACAGGCCCAGAGCTGCGTCCCCTGTCCAGGCGCAGGGGGTGGCCGGTGCTTTCGACGCGTGCGTCTTCCTCATCTCCACCGCTGGGCACCTTCCCGACAAGTAACGGTTCACGGGAGTGTTGTCTGTCGCGGCTTGGCAGGAAGAGCAAGAGCGAAGGAAGACGTGGCAGCTCCCCTCTCCCCTCCCGCGTTTGGGCTGCGCTGCCGGTGAGGCACCGGAGCCGTGGGGATGAGGGGTGGCTGCGGGGAGGCGCTCAGACACAGCCCTGGCTTGGGGCTGCCGAGGGCGCGACGGTGTCGTTGAAGTCACCAGCACCGAGGAGCGGGGACGCGGGAGGGTACTGAGGAGAAACGCGCTGTGCTGGCAAAGGATGCGACCAGTGAATACCATACCGGCATTTTAGCTAACGACATCGCTGAAGCGTTTACACCTACACAGGGACATGCCAAAAAGTGAATAACAAAACACTAGCAGTGCGCAGCCTACAGCTGTAGTGATGCCATTTTCCCCTTGGAAACAAGAAATCACTGGAAAACACTCTGACTACAATACAGTATAGCAATCTGTCCCCATGCCCCCATCCCTCTCAGGGCTGTCATCTCAAGGGCTGGGTATCACGTGGAGATCAGCTGAGTTCCTGGGGACGAAACCTGCTCGGATGTCCCTTTTCAGGCCAGTTTCTGTGCTGGTTGCAGCCAGGCTGCCTGCGCTCACGGTCCCTCCGAGGAGAAGCACACCAGAAGCCAGCCAGAGTGAGTCATCATTCGTTCAGAGAGTTCAACCAGGAGAAGGAGAAGACATGACGAGCCGGCTCATCACCCCTCTCGTTGCTCACAGGAGTTTCCTCCACTTGTCCTTGAGGGGACGGTTCAGAACCAGTCTGTAAAGGAAGGAGAGGTTGACAAATGGAAAAGACGAATTGCGTTAAAATCCGTATGATTTCACAACATGCAGAAAACCAGAATGAAGTGGGAAAGAGGTGAAAAGGCAGGGGGCATGAAGGTTTGGGGAGGCCAGCCAGACTTCTAGTGCCAGAGGAGTGGGAGGGACTTTTGCCACAGACAACGGCAGAGGAAGGATTTGGCCGGTGAGCGTGTCGCCTCTGCACAAAGTGCTTAGTCCTGGTTCGGACCTCTGGAAAATTACTGCACCGAAGGTGGCAACTGCCTGTTTAGAAGTGATCCTGAGCCAGCTTGGCTTGCGTAGCTGGGCCTCCAGATTGATGTGGACCGAGGCCAAAAGTTATTGTCAGTGCCCTGCCACTCAAAATGGTACTTTTTCTGCTGTCGTGAAATCTGCCTTGGATGCTTTTTTTTTCTTTAAAGTCTTTTAATGTTTATTTCACTTCAGTTTCACTCAGCCCAAGATCAGGGAATAAATAATAAAGAGGTACAAGCTCCTGCTCATTTCCCAGGCCAAATTCTGCTTTTGTTTGCACAGGTGTCCTCTGCTTACAGTAAAAAAAGAAATCTGGACATGACATGCTTTAGCTGCTAATCACAGGAATTATTATTATCTTTTAAATTAACTGAATATTTAACCGGCCAGTATGATACACAGAAATATTTTTACTAGTTCTAACATTTTCAGATCCCTTTGGCAGAGAATGAAGACCAGCTTTCTGGTAGTATCAGAAATCCTCTTAAGGATAAAATATACAAAAATCGGTGATTTGGTAGTTAAGGGATGCTTTGTGTCTTCATCATTAAAATCACAATTTAACGTGCAATACACTGGATGTGTTTTCCTTGCATGTTCCTAGATACGCACATGCATTATTGTACATTCTCAAAATTAAAATAGCCAATATTGGCAGCCTTCTCTGTGAAGGGTTTCACCTTAGTTTGGGAACTTTGGAAACGTGATCTCAGGAGAACTATTTGATGCCAAGATATACCTGAGAGAGGGAAAATGACAGAGCAGTGTCCTCTGAATTTTAACATGTCTCAACCACTTATAATACTGTCCTAAAATGGAAAGTTACAAAAGCAGTGATGAACAGACATACCCAGAAACAAACAACGAAGCAGGAAAGCTTGTGAGGAAATGAAGCACGGGACGGATTATTTTCCTAAGCCTTTTTTGTAAGTGCTTAACATTAAAGTAAGAACTAATGGTGTGTTAAGTATAAATTGGTTACTGGGCTTCATTCCAGTTACTACCGATCTGAGTATTGTGACACCAACAGACAAGCCAGCACGGAGGTGTGTAAAAAGTGGCTCCCTATTCCTTTCTTTATATCTAATGAGAGTTTGTAGCTCCTTTTTTAGATCCAGATCCTCAGTTCCTCTAGACTGGAATAGCCCTACTTGTTCCAATGAAATGCTGTCTGAGAATCTACTTTAATATTTCAAATGTGGACTAATCTTTGACTCGGATTCATATTTTCAAAGCAAGGCACTCACTGCTACTCACTGCAAAATACAGAGCTCAGAAAGGATTTTTGTGGACAAGCATCTTGCAGAAGAAAGTAGCTTTTGCTTGCTAACTTTATCGTGTACTTTAATGAGAGCATAGGCACGGTGAAAAATCTGGGAGAAACAGCTGTCTCCTTGAATACGAAAGTCCATTTTCAGTGATGCTGGTGAGAAGGGTCGTCTCCCAGGCTTACGCAAATGTATTGTAAAGAACTGGGCCCACGGGGCCAGATCTTCAGCTGAAAAGGCAGGTAGCTAATTAAGTCCTGATAACAGAAGATCTGCCTCTCAGTCCTGGAAACCCAAACCTTCCAACCCGATTACAAAAGTCAGGTGTCAGCAGTAAATACATGGCTAGACTTTCTGAGTCGTAAGGGATTCTGTGCTCTCTTGATGTTGGTAGATGTAGGGGCGTAGGTGTTTTATTAGCCCTCTGTGATGTTGAAAACTTTGCCTTTTATTTTTGGAAGGACAGCTGGAGTGCCTGGACTCGCTAAAAGCCATTTTGAAATTGGTTGTGCAATTTTGTGCACCGAGCCCTCAGCAGAGTGTGTAAGCAGGCGTGAGACAGCCCTCCTCGCTCCTCCTCACTCTGCAAAGGAATAGGACTGGCAAGAGGTTTAAAAAAATTTTCCTGCATTTTTATTCTTTCTTACTTAAAGCCACACTGTCACCTTGTAATTTCTCTTCCTGTGCAAGTCGGGCTTCCTTTAGTGCTTCCACTTGCTATTCCAACCACCCACTACCCAGAAATATACTTTAAACTAAGGTTAACTTTGAAGCAAAGAACTATTTATGGGCTTAAATTTAAGTATCTTGTTTTATAGGATTTGGAACTAACATGTTAGAAGAAAAAAAGCACAATCTAATGACTTAGACTGGCAAGGTGACTGCATTACTTTGTTAACCCTCACTGCTGGTACTGTATTTCAAGCAAAACAGTCTTTGTATGCATCACTGCCAAAGCTGTATTTCATAATGTGTTAAATCCTTCATATTCAGCTGTGATGGTATCTTCCTGTGGCAGCAAAACAATGTTGGAGCTCCAGCACTTTCCCACTGGGTTTGGCTGGCTGAAGCCCTTACTCGCTGTGCCTCGCTGGGCTCAGCAGGCTGCCCGTCTGCAACACCTCGATGTGCCTTTCCAAGAGCCATCATTTACCACCACACCCAGCCAGGAGTGAAGCAAGCACAGCACTGACAATAGGGCCATTCCTCAGCTGTTAGACTTGTGTTTTCACACCTGTGACACTGCAGGATTTGTGCTCTGAGTCATACAGTGGCTGAGGTACGCTATCCTCATGTGAGGCAAGAGACCATCAAAAGGTGCCAGGAGCAATTCTGTCCACATTATTAAGTTTGCTTCCCCCTGCCAACGGCAGCCCACACAACTCAGAGTTACACAGTGTGATGAGATTGTCCGAGACAAAAAATTTATGGAATCACAGAATGTTTGGGGTTGGAAGGGACCTCTGGGGATCATCTAGTCCAACCCCCTTGCCAAAGCAGGGTCACCTACAGCAGGCTGCACAGGACTTTGTCCAGGTGGGTCTTGAATATCTCCAGAGAAGGAGACTCCACAACCTCTCTGGGCAGCCTGTTCCAGTGCTCCATCACCCTCAGAGTGAAGAAGTTCTTCCCCATGTTCAGACAGAACTTCCTGTGCTTCAGTTTTGCCCCTTGTCCTGTCGCTGGGCACCACTGAAAAGAGTCTGGCCCCTTCCTCCTGACACTCACCCTTCAGATATTTATAGGCATTTATAAGGTCCCCTCTCAGCCTTCTCTTCTTCAGGCTAAACAAGCCCAGCACCCTCAGCCTTTCCTCATAGGAGAGATGCTCCAGTCCCCTCATCATCTTTGTAGCCCTCCGCTGGACTCTCTCCTTCTGCAGACTTTCACAGAAAACAACGTTTTTGAACCAGGAGGTGATTCTGAAAGGTAGAAAGCAGAGCCAGGTCCCCTCAGTATCAATGGGATTTGGGCATCTGACCCCTCCGTAGGTCCTTGCAATCTCATCCCAGATCACCTCGCTCTCCCTGTTACCACAGCCCTACTCCGCTGCCAGAGAAAAGCTTTCTGCTGAGCGTGGCACAACCCTTGCCACATGCCTTGCAGACGGTTCGGATTCAACACTTCATTGTGTCTGTCCATTGCTATTGGGCAACTGCTGTTAAGCTTCTGCCCAAGCTTTATCTTAGTCTTGGAGATCTCTCAGTAATAAGGATAACTAAGGAGTTTACCTCAGATTACATTAATCACATTAGGCCAATGCTGAGAGAGTGCTGAATACTTATGCTTTGATTTATATTTGATTTATATTTTCCCCTTTGGTGTCGAATGACATCAGATGATGCCTTCAGTAAGCACCAGGAATTTTCACCAGGCCAGCTCATGAAGCGGGGAGGGAAGCACACCCTGCATGACTGATGGTTGGGTTTGTTTTTCCCATAAGCAAAGTCCAGGCTGGAGTTTCCATGCCAATTCTTTGGAGGTGCTGAGCAACCACATCTCCCACTGAGCAGCCACTCAGCACTCCTCAGCACCTGGCACACTAGAATTTGCGTGAATAAACTGTATAAAGATCTCTGTGTTTAAAGTTGCAGGTATTCAGCATCTGTCAGCATTTGCTTCCTTAAGCAGAGCACTACTTAAATCTGTGTAAGGCTCTTGTAAAAGGTATGGATGAAATGGGTGAGTGGGATTGCTTTGTCATAACTTCTTCATTTATTAGGGCCCAGCAGTTAGCCTATCTGTGCTGGCAGAAAATAGGCAGTCTAGGCCTTCTAGACATTTAAAACACAATGAAGTCTACACAATGTTTTCTGCTTTACCACCAGTAAACTTCAGTCATCTAGAAGCGAGATAGCCGCTCAAGCAAACTTCATTCATCACCTCTAAAGGGACCAATAAGAGAAAGGCACCAGGAAAGGGTGATTTGTTGCATCCTAAAAGAAGCATCTGTAGGGTGGGTTTCCCTCTGGAGGTATCTGTTTCTCTCTGCTGACCTCAGAGACACTCTTGGTGACCAGGTTAGACTAGATCTGCCTTTTAAGTAATTACACAAGAAAGAGTCCAGCCAAATACTTCAGAATACCAGAAAACTTCTTGATAGGAATTGAGAACTTTGACTGCGCTATTATTTTTTAGAAGATCAGTAACTCTTCAGTTTAGGAAGTGGGGAGGAAAGGTGAAGGGTCTTCATAGTCTTTTTCAGATTGTTTTTTGTGGGGGCAAATTTTTGCTCATTTTTGATGACTTCTGGTAAGGTAGGGTCTGGAGAAACCATTGCTATGATGGCCCTCTCATGGTTATTTCACACCAGCTTGCAAGGAGATGTGAGAAATAACAGAGGTGAGGGCTGAAATGGTTGTTTCCTCCATGGATGTAGATTACCCACCGGTATATTTTATCCAGATTGAGCATGACTCAATGATCACAATTTTATGTAACTAATCAGAAAACT